ACAAATGTCATGGATAAATTTTCTTAGGCTTTCCAACAAGTACCGACTTTTTTCCGAAATGTTCTCGGTTCGTTAACGAAATTCCCACACATTTATCCACATGAAATACCTGGTGGAAAAAGTTAAATCGAGGGAAGTTTTGTACAGTTTAAGAGTGGGTACATTTGGTGTACGCCTGACCTCATCAGACTCTCCCCAACCATCATTACCAGTGTACACCTCAATTGTACGGCAGAACTGGTTAGATTGTTGGATAGCTTTTTTATAATACACATTTTGTGTGACGAACAGTAGACGGTGAAAAACCCCAGTCATGAGGGCCTGCCGTCCAGTCGTGGAAGCAGGTAACCTAATCCTCGGAACCTGAAGTGACTAACCGCATGAGACCTACTACGTTAGGCATTATATTGAGCGGGACGACAGGGAAGCTGTCTAACACTAAAGCTGGGCGGCGGCGGTGAGGTTCGAAGCATACAAAACCTTCCAGCATCAGCATAATGTCACACCGGTCTGTGGACAGACTATTTGCCAAACAGATCATTGAAACAAATTATCTAGGGTGTTTTCCGATAGGACTCTGCAGTGGTAGCTTTAGCTAGTGGTGTAAGGCGATTTGCAAATACCTTATCAGTGAATGCTTTGCCAACGACGTTTCATACCACATAGATACATGATCCCAGCATATTCGGATCGAAACTCGAACAAATACAGTCACCCAATTTTCGGAAGTAATAACGATAATCACGATTGAACTCTAGAAAATTAGTCTTGTTAAAGTGATTTGCGTGATTTGGTAAGTAAAGTGAAANTAATCGCTGGTCAGAAATTAACATTGAATTCGAGGATCTGGATTAAAAATCATCCTTTCCCGAACTTTTTGTTTCTCAATGAGCGTTGGTAAAATCGTTGTACTCACAGTTTAGCACGTTACAAGAGATCACTATATACTTACGTCTCCATGATCGTACAGTGGGGCTGGTGATTTTGTAAGGCTATTCAACTTTTTTAAAATTATTATTACACACTCTAGTGATAAACGGCAGACGGGGAAAGCCCCATAGTCACGAGGACCTGTTCAGTGATGTAAACCGGAAACCTAATCCTGGGACCTGGTTGTAGTGAACATAAGGCCCGACAGGGCTAGGCGTGGTATGGAACCGGACGACAGCAAAGCTGCCTACCACCAAAGTTGGGTGCTGGTGACGAGGCTCGAACGTTGGATCACGTGATCCAAGCCGGTGATAGCGACTAAATCAATGCCCCACCACCACCATGGAGTGGAGGCTCTTCGTTAATCCATCCAATGACAAAGAAAGAGCATTCAAATGCGCAAACAATAATCACGGGAAATGCTAACAGTGCAAATGCAGTTTTACAATGAGTAAACCAACCTCATTTTGCAAATGCCAAACACCACTCGGAAGATTGGCATCAGTGGTTTGATTTGGAGCGCGACAGGACGGCAAAATACGGCATTCGAACCCGCACATAGCGAACAGCAGATTGGGATTATCTTTGCTGTAGACGGAAACAAAGCTGCTGTCCCAATCAATTGTAGTAATTGAACGTGGTAATCGATTTTTTATGTCCCAGAACACAGCTCTGCCTAAATTCACATCATGCTTCATTAGGCGCATACGACTGTCTCTGGGCCAGCACTTCTTGTTATTGTAACCGACTATATTCTCATTGTTTGGATCTGGATGTTCCGTCAGGTAACGCTGGATAAGGTCACGCGCCTCCTCCGCCGTAAATCGGAAGAACATCCAAAAACGGTCGACGTAACGACAATATAGCCGAATGGGATGAGCAACTTCAGTAGCCGTATCCTGCAATGAACAAATATGATTATCATAACCGCTCTGAATTTATACGAATTCATTCGCCAAGTAGCAGATTTCATCATTATCGAACAGCCAGATACAATGAAGCGAACTTCACTGATCGCTGATAAGCTCACAATGTACACAAATTAAGTGAAGTACAAAATGGAGAGGGATTGGGCCTAATTGGAGGGAGGCAACGAAAGTGAACTTCTATGGTTACCATACAGAGCACACCATCTAGCTGTGCATGTATACCGTTTTAAGCATTCTGATCTGATAAAAAATGACAATAAGAACGCCACTGCTATGGGTTAGTTGTCATATCCTTCAGTGTCTCCAACCAACCAGTTGTAATCTTTTGGAGTAAGATGCACATAGTAATCACTCACAAATTTTGACGATGGACGACTACATAAATTTGGACCCAAGCTGCAATATTAACTGTAACATCGTCCATCCTGTCACAGGAAATTAAAGCAATTTCAGTGGTACAAATCACTGTTGTTAGCAGTCTTGATTCAAAGGTACTTTCTGAAACGTAAAACTGGTGTTCTATTTTTTTTCTTTCCGTTATCTTAGCCCTTGATTACAATACGGGCCGACAGATACAAGCGATAGCAAATTAAACCGCTCGTGAAGTGCAGTTAGTGTATTTCACCGGGTTCAAATGATACTGAAGGTGCATGTATGACGGATAAGGTACAGAAAACATAACAGTGACTAGCTTTTCCGTATAAATTCTAATAAGCACTTTATATTCCGAACAAACTGCGTACAAGGTATCACACAGAAATGCGAACGAAAAACACTCACCTGGAACTGAAGAAAATCATTTGGCATTTGAGGTGGTCCACACATTTCAGCCGCACGTTCCAAACCAAGTACCAATAAATCCAACACCAACCCGTAGTACTGAGTAATGAAGGAAGCGAATTGCAACCCTCGAATGATGCCGTAACTGTTGGTATGGTTCATGTCTTTATAGTTGATGACAACGTTGTTCTTTGCAGTCATGTAATCCGCAATGTTGTGGTCCACGATCAGACGAAGCAAGCGATTAAGCAACGTAAGATCAATCTTCTCATAAACCTTCTCGAATTTGGTCTCTAGCAGTACATTACATTCGCCCTCGCCGGTCTCCCACACGTCCTAGTTAAAGTAAACATAACAGACGACGATAACAAATAGAACGGCTTAGGGAAACTAGTTTCACATCAAACAACATCCTATTTTGTGGGGATAGGGTAGCCCCCGCACAAAGTTCTACATAAGCTAATGCTGTCACCAGTTGTTTATATATCTTTCGCACGCGTCTGAGGTCAGACTGTGCCAAACAAATCGCAGTACAATAATCTTTATAAAAAAGAAAACCGTTATACGATTTGCACGAGGCCCGAATATTGCCAGCTTGCCCACATCAAGGCAGGTGAATTTTCGTGAGTAATCCACAACAGGAGCCTTTGGCTAGCCAAAGCTTGACCCGCAAGCCAGTGAGATAGTGTCAAAACCGCCATTCATTGGGGTCGGTGTCCGCT